TTAATGTCAACGAGATGAGGCTGCAAACAGCTCATTTTCCAGGTCAGGGAGCCTAATGCCTGCGGGAGGTTTGGGAAGTTCAGAAGGAGTAGGAGGGGGCATGTAAGGAAAAAGAAAAATGGGGRAAAAAATTACGAATTCTAATTATGGAGCTAAAGAAATTGTTTCCTGGGAATGGTGGCTTTGTCCAGAGTTCACCCTTGAGTGAGGGTGGGTAATGTGGATCCTACAGGACCTTCAGAGCGAGTCTTGGCCCTGCACGTGGCCCCAGCAGCTGCAGTGGGGAGCACATGCCACCCCCAGCACAGTGGGTTGGAAGCCCAGGCAGTGAGTTGTCACCAGCTTGGCTCTGCTCTGTGCACATCTTGTCTGAGRCACATCTGCTCCCACACTGAGAGCCTCCTGAGCTCGTGAGATGGGCTCCCTCTTCATTCCTGGGCATTTCCCTCCCTCATTTCCTCTCCCCATGAGCTCAGCCGCAGTTCTGGGAGCTGAGTCCAGCCTGTKGCTGTTTCTGATCCCGACCTGCCAGGCTGGGCTCTGGAGAGCAGCCTTGTCCCATCCAAGCAGCTCCATGTGTGTGAAGCCATGTGGATCTCGGCTGCAGGAGCACATGAGGCCAAGGGTTTTTTTGGCTTTCTCCTCTTTTCCTGCCCCCAGCACTGCACCCAGGTTGTTTTTCAGCTGAGGTTTTGGTAACGTGTTTATATAAACATCCCAGCTGGAACCTGTCTCCATCCCTGGAGACACTGCCTGGCTCCAACCTGGAGCAGATGATATCCCCAAGGGTGTTCACACCATCCTCAGCCTGTCTGAGCCACAAGGGATGGCAGCAGAGGTGACACCTCGGGGACAGAAAGGACCTCACGAGGGCAGGGGACATCCAACCATTTCGATTTCTCTTAAATGCAAGATTTGGGGKTTGGTTTGGTTCTGCTGACTATAGTTCAGGTTTGTCCTTGTGCCTCCTCTCTGCTCCCCTCTCCGTTCCTAATGGGCTCCCAATATTTGGTGGCAGGAGCAAGCAGATAATTGTTTTCCTTTCCTTATTAATAGATATAAAAGGYCTGCCCAGGGGGCTCACTTTCAGCTCATTTACTGTGCAGCCGATGCCAGATGTTGGCTTTCTACAGTACCAAGGTGATTTCTGATGCTAAAATTGTCACAGGCACGACAAGACTTGCTCTTTGCTTTTGTGTTCTGAGGAAGTTTTAGATGTTAATGTAGAATTTGGGGGTTGGATGGGTTTGCATTGGAAATCTGAAGGATTGTTTCCCTTACCATCAGGTCAACAGGGAAATTCCTGATCTTTTCCAGAAAAAGGAGCAAGAATGGGCAAGAGCTGATTCTTCCTTTGCTCTTAAATCCAGCGCTACCTGGATTTTACATCCAGTGATGCCTCTGGTTTAAATCCAGTGCTACCTGGCTCTGGGGGAAAGGCACGATGACAAAAATGCTTCAAATTAACATTTCTTACTCCTCTCATCTCAGCCTCAGTCAGGTGGCACTCTGCCATCTCTGCTGTGCCTGTGACAGCCCCGGGGGTCCCCAGAGAATGGCCCTGCGCCAGAGCAGGCGGGTACATCAGCTGCAAGCTCCCTTCCACGGGTTCTCATGGGGCTATGTTTGCTTCAGCTCCGTCAGGTCAGCTTTAAGGGTTTGCAAAGCTCCGTGTAGTGAGCAGGGAAGGGCAGAGTGAAGGTGGCGGTGCTGGTTTCAGGTGGCAGCTGCGAGACTCAGGGGTTTTGGGCTCAACAGAGGAACTGTCCCCAGTGCAGGGACAGCCACCTGCAGCTGCAGCACCCAGGGGACCGTGGTGGGGTTAACCCCTTCCCTGCCTAATGCCACCTGAGCAGGGAGGATGTGATGTGCAATAAGKGGGGGAAGGAAGCTGGCCAAGGTCCCAGCGGGTATGTAGGTCATGGGATTGCAAGGAAATAGGGCCGGGGATGGGGCTGCTGGGCAACGGCGCTGTCTGTATCTGTTCCTGAAGAAAAGGCCCTTGGCAGCACCATCGGCAGCAGCGCTGCTGCTGATTCACCCAGCAGAAGCAGGAGAGGGAAGGGAACAGCGGAGAGACCAGGAGAGAGCAGTGGGACCCCCACGCCCCAGGGGCAGGGGCAGGGGCAGGGCAGGCTGCTGGGGCTGTTTCATAAAGAAATCTCCATGAAAGGAGCAGAAACTGCAAGGGAAAGTGACAGAAAAAGCACCAGACGGAGGGATCTTTGGTGGTTTTTTTTTTTCTTTTAACGGCAAATTAACCCYCGGTTTTAATGCTGTCATGCCTTCCGATCTTGAAATGTGGGCAAACGAGGCTTTTTGCTTTCTGTGCATCATTTGACGAAAATCAAAGCTAACAGTACTGAAGGCCCATTTTATTCATCTTCTGAATAAAAGGATTATTAAAACCGCTCTTTGGCTTGTTCTCCATGCCCTGAACACCTCCATGTGCACATGCTTGCATCCCTCCAGTTGCCCTGACATGACCTTTGACCGTAAAAAAATATTGCCAGTGCAAAATACTGATGGGTAATAGTGAACACAACAAGCACACAGTGTCTGTGCTGCTGCTCCATGGACAGGTTTGGTGGGGAATGGTCTGTAGGGGATTTATTGGACACCATGGAGGAGACACTGGGATCCATTGGGGTGTCCAGACTCGTTCTGGAGCCCTGGCTGGGCTYCTCAGCAATGCAATGGGTGCTGACTTCAGCAGGAGCAGCTCGGGCCAGAGTCTTCTCTTGGCAGCGCTGAGGCATCATCTCTCTGATGGTTCTGGGTTCCCGAGAATTTGATGAGTCTGGGTTCCTGAGAGAGCATCCCAGAGCTTCGGTTTCACACAGTTCTCGTCCAGGGTGAGATGGGACTGGTGGGAAATGCAGCCCAWGAGCTCTGAGAATCCCTTCCTGAAGCACTTTGCTGGGTCAGGGCTGCRGGGGGGTCACTTGGTGGGGTGAGGAGTTGTGATTTAGGAAGCCCAGCGTGAGCAGAACCGTGCACAGCGGGGCAGCCCCATAAGGGTCAGCCAGGTYTGGGCTGAGAGCATTTGACCTTACAGGGAGCCAGGGTGAGTGGCTGCTCCAGGGCTCCACAGCCTGTGTTTGAAATCCCTCCCTCCCTTTCTTCCCCCTAGCCAGCCCATCAAAAGAAAAGTCAGCAAATTGCAGACAACTGCTCTGCTGAGCACTGGGGTTCTGGTGGGCTGCAGACCCCCCCTGCTCTCTCCTCCCTGCCTGTTGGCCACATCCAGCAGGATCTGGGCAGTCCGTGGTTGTCCTTGTCCTCCTAAACCCATTGTCACTGCTACAGGGCCAGCAGTGTGACCAGCCTCCTTGCAGTCCCTTGCCACCTGCAGCTTCAACACCTTTGTTCAGGTGCCACCCCTGAACCTTTCCTCCATGTCAGCCTCCTGCTTCTTGTGTCCAGCCTGGATTGCTGCTACTGTCYGTGCCAGTGAGGAGCTGCTCTCCAGACCTTTTCCTCTGCTCCATCTGCCTTCCACAGCTCTGAAACCCCAGGGCATGACCTGTTGGCCAGAAGGTCCTGCTGTCCTGCTGCCCCATGCAAGATGCAGAAAAACAGATCCCATAAGGAGAAAACAGATCCCATAAGGAGAGGGTTTGGCCAGGATAAATACCAGCCCCTTCCCAAAGCAGTGCTGGGGGCTGGGGGCGGTGCACAGGGGAAGGTGGGTGAGCAGAAATGCTGTGACAGCTCCTCACTTCCCAGCTCCTGCCAGGTGCTGAGCAGGCAGGAGGAGCCTCCTGAATGCCATCTCATTTCCCATCCCACCACCACTTCTCCCATCCATCCTCCTGCAATCTTGTCAGCTCTCAAGGAATGGTCTTCACCGGGGCCTGGGAACCAAACAACTGCCCCCTGGCACTCGTGCCGAGGGAGCAGGCTGTGCTCATGATGGGAGAGATGTCTCTGTCATTGCTGCGGGGAGATGAAATCGGCACTCTGACTAATTRGGAGGGTTGGGGGAAAGCAGATGAGGGGATTAGCGAGAAATAAAATTGATGCTAGGAAATAGAAATGACAGTACCTGTCGGCTGGGACGAAACGGGTGGGCTGAAGAGGAGGATGATGCAGACAAGTGCTGATGGGTTTCACTCCTGAAGCTGTTAGGGAAGAAAGGTGGTTTGGTGTAGAGAACTGCAGCTGCAGGGATGGTCCCTGTGCCACCACAAACCTGGGTTTGCTGGGGCTGGGAGGTGTGTGACCCCCAAAACATTTGCACAGGGACAGGGTGTGTGGGGTGGGGTTGCAGCGAGAAAGTCTCAGGAACCAAGAGGTGAGCAGAAACAAGAAATGGCTCGKGGGTGTTTGGTGCTTGAGCAAAGGAAGAGGGATGGGTGGGGGACATCTAGGAGGATGTCGCCCACCCTTCAACACATGTGGTGCTGAACACAGGAGCCTGTTTCTYTTTATTACGTGGCTTTCCCTTTGGCTCACTGGCTGCTAATGCTCTTTTCTTGGTGAAATCTGTCAGCATGGGGCAATCTCTGGGCTCAGAAGAGGACAATGGACAACAGTAGGAAGTGCTGTGGGGCACTTTTCCTGCAGCAGACTGCCCACTGCAGCCTGGTCACACTGGCACCAGGCAGGGACCTGCTGCACGAGCTTTCTGAAGCACAGGTGGARGAAGCAACAGAGCACCCAGAGCGGGGGGTTTGAGGGCTAAAAGTGTTTCAATTTTAGTGTTGCCAGTTGCTCTCTTCCTGCCCAGGTGGATTGCTCGCCTCTGTGGTTTGGGGCTCTCCTCTGTCAGATGGTGACAGTGGTATTTGCCTCCTCTGTGGGCAGACTGGGGGGGTCAATCAACATTTGGGGGGTGATCTCAGGATGGGGGGCTGTGTGCAGCTGTGGCCATCTGACCAGAACCAAACCCAAATTTTAGTTTAAAGACAATGACAACGCTTTAATGCTCTGCATGAAAAATTGTCCTCAACTCTGTTCTTTCTCTCACTGTTCCCTCTCTGCCTCCCGTTTTGTAGCCCTGCTCCTGGACATCATGATTGTGGCAGGTTTGCAGAAGCTGGCCAAGCGGAAGGGCCCGTACGACATCACCCCTGGCCTGTTGGACTACCTGACCATGGACACCTACGCCTTTCCAGCCGGGCACGCCAGCAGGGTGGCCATGCTCTCCAAGTTCTTCCTCAACCACCTGGTCCTGGCCATCCCCCTGCGTATCCTGCTGGTCCTCTGGGCTGTCTGCGTGGGCCTTTCCCGCGTCATGATCGGACGGCACCACATCACAGACGTCCTCTCCGGCTTTGTTTTYGGCTACTTGCAGTTCAGGCTGGTGGAGTTGATATGGATGTCTTCCAACACGTGTCAGATGTTGATATCCATCTGGTGAACACGGAGGACTTGGAAACTAGAAGATACTTTGAGAGTTCCCCCTCCCAGTATTTTCTACGTGTTGTTTGTTGGAAGCAGTTGTAACTTCCATGAGYAGTGGTGTTTTTTAATGTCGCTTCCCCCACCTTTAAAAAAAGAAAAAGTTTCTTGTAACRGATTGGATTTTAGCAATCAAGGGCCGTACCTGCATTCTGGCCATATTTCTAAGCTGTGTTTGGACAGCAGCCTATTTAAGCTTTACAGGTGAGAGAAATGAGCTCCATGTCTGCCTTCTTTAGGTGGTTCACCTTGACATGTCCTCAGGATGGGCAGTGCCTGAGAGCTTCCTGAGAGCACATTCGTTAACTTTTTAGAGGATAMATGATTTTGGCCACAGTGCTTTTCTTTCTTTTTGTAAGCCCAGCAGTTGTGTCTTGTACAGAGTCAGGACACTACTGGCACTTTACAGATAATAAATTATCGCAAAAATCCTGCCCTGTTTGGTTCTTATCGAGAGGGAAAGGMCAAAACCAGCCCAGTGTGGCTTTGAGATAGGCATTCAGCATGGAACAGGTCCTGCAGCTTTGCTGCCTGAGGGGATGCAAAMAATGGTTTGCTTTGGGTGGGGTGGGCCTAGGTGGGTGCTCAGGATACCTAAGGAAATCTGTTCTGTGAGGGTGTRTGAGGAGTTTCTGGTCTTGTCAGGGACACACGATGCCCTGACGTGGTGCTGTTTCTCCCCTTTATTGACAAGGGGCCTCCTTGAAGCCTGGTGGATCTTTATCCAGGTGATGGCCATGCCTAAGGTGCTGCCTCTGAAATGGACCCTCCTCACAACTACCGTAAGAAAATCCCCTATTTTGAACAGAATGTGCSAGCTCTCTGTGGTTTATCTGTCTTTAGAAGACAGTTTGATGTTTGGCAGGTGATGGGTGCTACCAGACAGCACCTTCCCTGGCTGGATGAATCCTGCAGAATGGAGTGATCCCATTATCCTTGTGCTCCTGTGGATCCCAAGTGAGCAAAACACACCTTGTTTGCAATGCCAGAGAGGAACCAGCTGGGTCCTGTGCTGTCATCCCTCCCTGCCTGTTGGGAAGCCTCTTCCTGCAGGGGCTGGTGTGAAGGAGACAKTCAGCTAATGACTGTTGCAAGCTGCTGACATTTGTTGCTCTTTGATGATTAATATGAAAAGAAGCTAAACAGAAAATCTATCCCTGGCACGCGTCTCCAGCTGGGATGTCAGCGCAGAGCCCTGGGAGCTGCTGCTCCGTGCTGGAGCAGGAGTGAGCTAAGGAGGGCAGCCGTGTCCTTCCAACACAAGCCTCCCACRGAGCTCTCGGATGAGCTGTCCCCTGGGAAGGGTTGTCACCGAGTGTGGTGAGGAAAGGGGAGAGCTCAGGGTTGTCCCTGGAGGCTGCAGCAGCAGGCGGAGCAGYGGGGGTGGCGGGTGCTGTCCTGCTTCCCTCCGCTGCTGCGGGTGGGAGCAGGGATGTGCTTCCCTCCCATCAGGGTTTTCCCTTGCCAGCCTCCTTCTCCTGCMAAGATTTCTGTGCACAAGTGAGCTGTGGTGCTTTTTCTTCCTTCCAGGCATTATTGCACGTGGCAGAGTTTATCCTCACCCCTAGCAGGAKCAGCAGCACGTTCCGAGCTCTGATTGTGGGTGATGCACCAATGTGTACCTGGAGACAACAGCTTCCTGAAGGGGCAGGGAATGCCTTTTCCCTCGTGGCTTTGTGGGAAATCTCACTTTGTAGCTCCAGAATTTACAGAACCTTTGCAAACAGACTGGATGATCCTACAGTCATGTCGCCAGGTCCAGGTTTCCTCGCGCTTGTGTTGTCTTCTCCTGGTATATCCAGGGTGGCAGGATGGCTTTGGATGAGGTGCTCCTGATCTTTGCTGGTGTTATCAGGAGAGCATGGCCTGGAGAAGCTGCCACAGTGGGTTAGATCAGCTGAGCTGGTCTSATCCCAGCACATGGTTGCAAAGCAAGGCAGAAGAGCAGGGTGAGGTGAGCTGGGGCAATTCACTGGACGAGGATAGGGTTTTCTCCCACACAGCATTTCTCCAGGGAATCTTCCTCCTCARTCCCCATGCAGCCTGTGCCCCTTCTCTCCCACAATATTTCAGTGCCCAGGGCAACTGAAGGGAAGGCTTTGGGAGACTTCCCACAAGGTGAGTGTGGATTGGGGCACAGAGGCACCAGGAAAGGCCTGGCAGAGCCTTGCCTCAGCCACGCTGACCTCCCAGCAAGCCAAGATATTCCTGATCCCTCTCTCCCTGCCTGCCACGCTGAAGGTGCTGCTCAGAAACAACCAGCATCAGCGTGGAGAAAAGCAGCTTCTGTCTCTATGGCAACAGCAAGGCACGGTGGGTGCYGTGTCCCCTGTCCCTGGGAGCTGGAGCAGGACACTGGAGCTGCTCTGTGCCSGTGCTCACCGTGGCAGTGTGGGGAGACAAAAGGATAAATGGTTCRAGCTCCTTCAGGATTGCTCAGCCTGAACCTTCAGATCTCCAAATTCAGCCACACAGGGCTCAGCGTGAGGCTCGGGAGGAGTGGTGCTTCCAAGCCAACACCTGTCCAACCAGAAGGAGTGAAGTCCTGACCATGGCATCTTCTGCCTTTCAGTTCATCACATGGATTAATTAAGAAAATGGCCAGGAGGTGGCAAGTACAGAGTGTGGGTTGGGGATTGCTTCCATCAGCACTCCATGGTGCCACTGGGAGAGTCCCAGGCTGCTGAAATGRTGATTTTGTGTGTGATTCTGCTGTGGACAGTCAAAGGCCCCTCCTCCCCTCACCCTAATGCTGATTATGCTCAGCAGCAAAAAGAGATTTTAATTTATTAAAAAAAAAAAAAAAAAAAAAAGCTCATTTATTAATTGCTAGTTTTTACTTGAGCAAACCTAAAATCAAAATCCAACTCTAACACATTTCTTATGCAAAAACATGGTTTTAAGTTATTAAAAAAAAAAAAAAAGGGTGCCAGGGCCAGGGCAAGTAGCAAATCTGGATTATATCTTTGGGCATATGTGGCAATCGTGCCCAGGGTGTTTAGTTCTCCTCTCCTCCACCTAAGCTGGTGTGTTTTTTTCCAACAAGCTGTTTTGTGCATTTGTGGCTGGGGCTGTGCTGAAATGAAGGTGGGATAAATACTTTCCCACATCAGGGCTGTGCTGCCCTCCCTGCCATGGAGGGATCCTCTCTGTGCCCCAGGAAGGGCTGACTCTCTGTCTGTGCCCTTGGCAGAATGAGGCAGCTGCAGGGGAAGGTGGGTTGGCAGATTTGAGGGTTCAGGGGGGAATTAGCAACAGTTACACAAGGTYTCCCTGCAGTAGCACAGCTGTGCCTCTAATTCACCCCAGGCTGGATTTTTTTTTGGGCAAACACACTCCTTTTATTCACTCAGGGTGTTTCTAAGGGAGGTGAAGGGACCCATGAGTTTACCTGGYTCCCAGGAGCTCAGTGCAGCAGCCCCAGCTCCCATCACAGCCCTGACCCCACTCCCTGAARCACCAAGCCACACAGGATGTCCCTSGCAGCCACAARCTCATTTTTGGAGCTGAAAGGTTTCTCCCCCGTTAGAGGGAATCACCTTCATGTTTTAGGTTGAGATTTTTTATTCAAGTGAGAATTAACYATGTCATATCCAGGCTAAATATTGGGCAAAGCCTAAGGAAATGGGATGGTGTCTCCCCTTCACAGGTGTGTGTTCCAGGGGGTGCTGCACACGAAAGGTGCAAGAACACAGGTTATATATCTTTTGTGTGTTTTTTGTCACCTAAAATAGAGATATGGCCGGTTCTTGCCTCAGCACAGCAGAATTCAGGCAGGGACACGGACACATATGCTGAAGGATGGGAGCAGGAGACCATTGAGGTGTTTTCCTCCAGTGTTGACCCAAGTGCCTGGCTGATGTGCCTATGGCTGCATAGAGTGCTTGATTTTGGGGTGATGCTGGGGCTCTGCAGGCAGGGATGGCGCTGTTTCATTCCGTGCCTTGCTGGGACTCAGAGCAGCAAAGATCTCCGTGCTCGCCCGCTCCCCAGGACGCAGGAGTCAAAGCGGATTAAAGCTCCCTCGGCTGATCACATTTATTTCATTATTTGAGTGAAATCCCTTGTAAATACCGCCTCCCTCCCTTTTCTTTTTATAAAAATAGAAGGCACGAAAGAACTGGAGATTTAAGAAAAGTTAATCACAGGAGTCGCTTGAAATCCATTAACCTCACACAGCCTTAGCGAGGCTGATCCGTGCCCGARCCTTCCTGCAGTGGGGAGATGCTGAACGGTCGGGGGGGTGGTGGGGGCAGCCTCGCCAAAGAAGAGCTTTCCCTGGAAAATACCTGGTTCTTAGCAGGCTGGGGGGTATTACAGCCTTTGTTCATAGTCTGGCCGCGATGAAGTGCTAATTGCAGTGTTGGAACAAATTGGCTCAAGCTCCCAGGCGGCTCCAGAGCTCTGGGTGAGCATCAGTGTGGGAGCCTTGCGGCAGATGCTGCTGGCCAGCCCGTGGGCTCAGGGCCATTGGAAATGCTGGTGCTCTTCCCTTYACCGTGTGGTGCCTCTGAGCCTCTCTGGAGGATGGGACCTGGACTTTGCACAGGGATCTCTCCCCGTTTTTCTGACAAATTTCAAACAGGCGCAGCTGATTTCCACTCCCCAGAAACTGCCCCAAGAGCCCCTCCCTCCAATACCTCCCTGCCCTTGGGACCCTCTCTGACTTCCTCTCTTCTCCCAGGACCAGCAGTTTTGTGCAAGACCATCAGTGCTGGTAAGTCACACCTGCAGAAATTAATTAAATGAAAAGCAGTGGGAACAGAAGCTGAGAGCTAAAATGATGGATGTTCATGAAAYACTTGCCCAGAGCCCAAAGTGCTCTGGGCATTCGGTGATGTTTGSTTCCAGCCAAGGAACTGTGCAATATTGAAACACTCAGTGCAGGGGTGATTAAGGAATCAGCCTCTGGTTTTGGGGTGTGGGTCCAGAGCTGGTGCCCTCTCTCCACTGGGATTTACACTTTGGAGCTGCCAGCACTAGTTTGTCACAGATTGCACCTCCTGTGAGTGGGTTTATTTGCTTTAAATCCAAAACCTTGAGTTGTGTATTAATAGCACAATAATGCATCACTTTTGTGTCCAGCACAAGCCAGGGGTTATATAAAACACAGATTAATGGGAATCAGCAAAATACAGGAGCTAGTGGAGGGATGCAGCGAGGATGCCTTGGAAGGGGAGGTGGGAGGGAGGTGGCAGGTCCAGAGGGTAGGGAAGGTGGCTGAGTGGGTTCAGAGCATTTCCTGGCAGGATTTGCTCCAGTTGTTGCTCTGCAGCCCCAGATCAGGACATTTCCTGAACCAATGTGTCTGTGATCAGGGGTCTTTTGTCCTTGGGTGATAACAAGAAGTCAGAAAGGGGGCCTGGGAATTTGAGTGGAAATGGCTGCTTTTTTGCTTTGTTTCTTTTTTTTGCCTCC